TTGAAACCGTAATTTTTTTTCAACGATAGTAAGGTATGATATGACTTTATGGTAGAGTATGATATAGGAAATTTACATACATACATTGATCCTCTAAATATATTTCAAACTATGAAAAAACTAGTATAGGTGCAGATGAAAAAATATTCGATTGCATAAGTAAATTATTGTAGTTTAAATCAACTTGTAAATATGCCTATCAAACGGATCACTTTATAGGTTTAAATCAAATTAAATCAATTTACGAGGCTTTCTTTTGCATTTAAATTATTTTATCAACCGAATGATAATGCAACTTATATTCTATATTCATAAACACTGCGACACTATTGCAGTGAATACCAATGTCTCGCCACAAAAGTTAACGCTGCATTTTGGTGGAACAGATAAGATTGTCGCAGTCTTTACTGAATATGTTTTATCGTACTCCATAGTTGAGACTAAGTGTTGTTATTTTAAGTACTATGAATAAATATTTCACTAATATATTAAACCATCAGTTAGACTGTAAAGTTAAATTGTGCATTTTAGGATAAGATTTCATTTATACTCTCTTTATTTGTGGATTAAAAATAACGTAGCATATTTTTTTCTTTTTACTTACCGACTGGACATTATTTACAAGGTTCATATTATTGTCTTTAATATAAGTGATATTGAACATAATAACAGTAAAACTACTTTTTCAACAAATCTCTTCTTACATATTTAGTTATCAGGCTAGTCATTACCTTTAGATAATGCTAGAATCTGAAACCAATAAAACTTTAAAAAATCACATCAAGTCGAAAAATGCTGTGTATATTGTCAAAGTCGCACACTCTGGTTGAAAAGGAGCTACTTAATTGTTTGATGATAATTTTTCTGCCAGCAAGTTTACGTTATTTAAGAGATTAGGCATATAGTACTCTGTTCATGATTAATTTGTTTTTGTTTTATCTGGGTATGTACTATTCTTGTTATGTATTATGTTTTTCACACCTAAGGGAGGGCTCAGAATATCGATAAACACTTTGTTTTTTACTTATCGTAGAGGAAAATACCCGCAATCATCTCTTAAACAACGTAAGAAATTATCTATTGTCATTTTAATGACACATTTTTTAAACAATATTTATAATGTGATACTCATTCTGACGAACAATAACAAAATTACAGGATCGCATGTTTTAAGTGAATTGTATTACGTAGTTCACATTGAATACGTTGGTACGGATAGACATTGTGGTTAGTTCCAGCATAACAAGTTCAACCAATTTAAGCCAGTGACAGTTTCAGTAATAACGCCAGAAAATGCAGTGTCAAGAGAATCTACATCTCAAACCTCACTGGTGTAGAACTAATTACATGTCTGTAGTGATCTGAAGGGAGCCGGAGCAGTTTAATATGTTCAGTGAATATGGTCTGCTTTGTTTTGAATATTTTAAGCTCAAAAGATATTGAAAGAATTTATTTAAGGGTAATACCAGTGAAATTAGAGCGATTGCATCCATGAGAAATATAAGGCTTTGTCTTAGGCTGTCATTGGATATTATCAGGCTATAAAAGTGAATATTGCGTTTAAAATATTTTTTAATTTTCTCTTTGGTTTTCACCAAACAAAATTTAATATTTCCTGGTAGAATTTTACAAAAAACTGCTAGAATTTTTTTTCACCAAGGTTGGAACACATATTTGAAATAACAAATAAATATTCTGTTAGACTGATCGAGATTGTAGATTTAGTTTTTAAACTAAATAGATGAAGATTTGTGAACAATACGTTCATTAACCATCTATATTTTAATGAAAAAGATAGAACATTTTTAATATTTAGATACAATAATAACCATTCTTTATTCTACACAGTAGTGTACTATGGAATTCCTTATGAAAGATTTGTTCTGTGTTCAAAACTTTGTGTTGAAAATGACTAAAACCACTAACTACATTTAGTGCTCATAGATAGCCTGATATTTTTTTCTTGCTCTAATGAAAAGCAAATATATTAAGCTATGAACTTTATCAGAGGACGCTTCTGATGTTATCAAGGTTTCAGTAAAGATGTTTGGCAGAAACACCAGCAGGAGAGCCAATACCTGGCCATCTGAGTTACATTATTTATAAACCTTGATAACTTCGACTCAACAACTCCGTGTTATCCAAACTTGTTATAAAAGATGAAAATTGAGAAAATTTAGAATGTTTTTCAATTGAAATTTTCAATTGTTAAACACATGTTGTTTGCCTAAAATATGCGTGCATCTTTGTGAGTGAAAATAAGTGAATGATTCACTCAGTATTGTAATAGTACTGTATTTCTTAAAGGGTACAATGAAATAACATACCCTGATCTATTGTTTTTTTCGTTATACACCATCGGAATACTAACAATTTTCAATGACGTTGTTAACAAAACGTCAAATAAATGTTTAAAATTAATTGATAATACATAGCATACATCTGTTTTATTTATAAAACAAGAATGCAGGATTTAAACGAATTAATAAAGGTAAAAGCTCTTTCTATTTTTAAATGTACTTAGTGCTGTATATATATTCTACATACCCCATTAGTAAACCGTCTCCAAATTAGTTTAAAGACGGTAAGCGTTTAAAGATCTTCATCCCCAAAGTTAAAGACATTCATTAGCTTTATACTGTAACTTGGATCAAGTTTGCCAACTTCCCAAAAGCAGCTCCTCTTGTTACTTAGTTATCAAAATGAGAGATACAATTCACCCCTTCCTAGTGTCTAGTTTACAAACAATAACCCATTCATTTTAACAAAGTAACAAATAAAAATTTAGATAAGTCATTTATCCTTATTCTTAATATAAAATTACAAAATAATAGCCCCTCATAAAACTCTTCATGCAACAGACATATTTTATTATAGGCTTTTTTTATTTAATGTACCCCACACTAAAATAATAATTTGCCCGCCACCTAATAACTTATGTAAAAAGAGGCTATTCCAATGTTTTATCTTATACAAACGATATATTTCTTCATCTTTATATAGAGGTGATTATGATTATATGTAAGGTTTCAATTCATATTCAATATGGATGTAATCATTGTATTCCTCATTATTTTAATACTTTAATACTTTTCAATGAAATTGCGACCATTCAATGTAGGTATTTGAAGCCAAGTATGAATGGAGATGAGTGTATAATGAGTGGCGCGATCTTGTAGTCTTGTTAGTGACTAAGGTCGACATATTCCTTAGACACAGCTGTTAATTAATAGCCCATACAGCTAAAGGCAACTAAGATACCTACAGTTTATAGTGGAATCCGAACCACATTTTTGCCTTTGGTAAATACGAATTGGTCTAGTTATCAGGATAGTACTGCGGATAGTCGTAGTACTCACCCATGCGGACGTTAATCCACACCAGGGAGTATCGCATCCACAATGTATTACTATAAATATCCACAATTCGTGACCTCCTAGTAGCTGGACTACAGGACGACGCCACCCGTCCCAGGTTTATTCATTGAAGTATTATTTTACGTGACGAGGCAATTTAGGAGCTTCACTCTATTTAATATGGGTACTCCGATATTTAATACTTACTCCGATTGAAATGCAGTTTTCATCGCCGCCAGAAGGGAATTTGATAATATTGTAATGGATATATTAATTTGCAACTAATGAAAAATAAAATAATTATAAACTTCGCCCTTTTAGAAGTATTAAAATTATGTTTCTATAAATAAAGAGTGATTATTGAGCACCTAACATCCATTGACAACAGAGGTGCCCATTTATACTTTACAATAATCAACCATTATTTACACTTTATATCTGTCCTTTTGCAGTTTACCGTAACCCATTATTTTATTTCCAAACTAAAAAACTTTCAATATATTTTTAAAAAGGATGTGTATTTTATTTACCCATTTTATTTTATTTTCTATTTTTTATGTTTTCAAAAATTGTATAACTATAAAATAAAGGGTTTGTGTTTTTTAGCTCAGTGGTTTGACTTGATACAACTTCAATATCCAATAGTCAACGGTAAGAACCCTTGACAAATCTATTTAATTTTGAGTTGTAAAATCCATAAAACTAGGATTTTAAATATTTTTATAAAGTTCATTTAGGTTATGTTGGGTTTATGTTATTTTATAATATTGTTTACGTTACCATCACTATCAAGAAAACTTCTTTTACAACGTTTAATTTTTCTTTAGGTACTTTCTACTACTAATGAATGCTTTAAATATTTGCACCAAACTCTAAAACTAGGAGAGTTTTTACGAATTTTTTTAATGACAACACAAGTTGTAAAAAATTTATTGGGACTCAGTATAATGTAATGGAAAACAGACAGTTAGGTACGGTAGATTTGACATACTTTGCCGAATGTATGTTCTGAAAACCGCAATTAATTATATGTTTTGACGGACTTGAATTCAGCACTTCGTTACTTCTAAAGTTTTATGAATGAAATATAATAATTGAGCTTACATTGACGATACTTAAAAGAGTATTTTTTTAAAGTGGATATATCTGTCATTGATTGTACTATTTCTAATGCAAGATCTAAAAGACTGTATTTATGGTTCGAAACTTAGCTGTCTATATATATTTATAGTATATATCGTAGCTGCCCTTTAATTAAAACTCCCTTTTGAAGATATTTTTTATGCATACGCCAAATATACAAATATTATGGACACACTACTACAAAAACCTCTTTAAATTTCCTACGGCGGCATTTTGTTAAGCTCTATATGCTTTCTTATGGCAATAACAGCTGAAATACTTGCAGTTTACTATTATTTTATTATATAATTTATACTATGCTAAAAACATGTATTGAAGAAAAATATATTTATTAAATAATAGAAAATTTGATTTGAAACAGAAGCATTGTGGATTTTTGCTTCTATTGTCAATGATTTTACTGAAGCATAATTGATACTTTCGTTATTAAATATAAAAATGTATGATGAAACACTTTAGGGCTACGTAGGAAAAAATATTCAAAAATAATGTAGAACTGTGCACAACAAAATACAATTTTAATAGGACAATTAAGCAATGTACAATCTCCATCATTAAAAAACTAATGATAATGCTACATAAAATATTTATTAAAAATAAACAATATAAATAAATTAGAAAATTAATAGGAATTAGAAATGTCTAATCTAATACACAAATACATCATGAGTATTCTTTAAATCTTTCATCAAAATATTAACAAAAATTAGCAGGGTTTAATATATTTTCTTATATGTATTGCTGATTTAAAGGAGTGGAACTTGAAGAAGTTTCTTAAACGACTGCATAAAAGTAATTTAAATCGAATGCTGTTTCGATGCAACCACACTTCATTGAAGGAAAAGTTGAAGTTAAATATCTAATCTACAAATACAAATCAAAACACTTAATTTAATGCCTCTTAAGTGCTTGGTTGTTTTTATAAGTTAAATGGTAGATTACCGTTAAACCAAAAGCGTATTATTTTCCTAAACAACATACTCATAGCTTTGTAAAGGTTTCATTAATGTACATCTTACGAATGAAACTTAGTTTTTGGAAGCAGTTAAATGGATTTATTTTAAATAAGACATTCAGCACTTAGCAAAGACTGTATGTTATATTTTTTAAATATACAACTGTGGCAAGTAACAGGCAATATCAACCAAAGAAGGATGGAAAGATAAAAAGTAAATTAAAAAGAAATATGAATAAAATGCTATTAAGGGAGATTTATGTCAAACGTTAGTTGTATCAATTTCACTATACTGTACTAAAACCCATCTGTTGTTATTAAACTGTTGGATAAGTTTTATCTGGTTGAGTCTTAAACTAATTGTTAATAAATATAATCACTTTTGTCAATACCATTATATCGTCTTAGATCCATGTTTCTTCTTGTAGTACCATAACATAGTTTATTGACCATATTCCGGAGCACTAGAGGTGTATAGCGGATCTTCTGACGCAAATGAAGCTGCATATTCCTGTTCCGGAGCACTAGAGGGGTATAGCGGATTTTCTGACGCAAGTGAAGCTGCATATTCCTGTTCCGGAGCACTAGAGGGGTATAGCGGATTTTCTGACGCAAGTGAAGCTGCATATTCCTGTTCCGGAGCACTAGAGGGGTATAGTGGATCTTCTGATGCAGGTGAAGCTGCATATTCCTGTTCCGGAGCACTAGAGGGGTAGAGTGGATCTTCTGATGCAGGCGAAGCTGCATATTCCTGTTCCGGAGCACTAGAGGGGTAGAGTGGATCTTCTGATGCAGGTGAAGCTGCATATTCCTGTTCCGGAGCACTAGAGGGGTATAGTGGATCTTCTGATGCAGGTGAAGCTGCATATTCCTGTTCCGGAGCACTAGAGGGGTATATCGGGTCTTCTGACGCAGGTGATGCTGCATATTCCTGTTCCGGAGCACTAGAGGGGTATAGTGGATCTTCTGATGCAGGCGAAGGTGCATATTCCTGTTCCGGAGCACTAGAGGGGTATAGCGGATCTTCTGACGTAGGTGAAGCTGCATATTCCTGTTCTGTAGTTATTCTGAAGTTTTCCACTACGCTTGGGCGGGCCTGACTTACAGTCGCCTGTAAATAATATAAAAGTCGTAGTTTAGATTTTTTAATTGATACAAACTATTTTGATGCTTGATAAATTTGTATAACATTTTATGTTGCGTTTGTAAAAAAACCCTATTATTGATGTTATTGATGTCTTTTACTAACGTAAATTAAATTAACAATCTTACTCAAAACTGTAAATAGAACGTATGTTTACGTATAGAAATACTAAAATGCTTTAAAAGCCTATTAAGATTCTCTTGTAACAGTAAATAAGAGTTTCGTCAGTATTTATGCGGCTATCATTGAGATTAAACCGTATGATCTCATACGGTATGATCTCATAATATCTCAACCGTATGAGGCCCAAAAAAGTACAATACTTTGCCACCCACTAAAAGAGTACAGTTGTAATAGGTTTAAGAAATGTGTAAAGGAAATGTTTACTTAAACTGTATGGATAATTTTATTTTTGATTTTATGAATAGACTATTGTATTGTTTTATTTACTTAATTTGACCAAAGTTGTCATGAAAAACAGAGTTTGTACTTTGATGAACGCTTGGAAATAAAGACCTTATTTATTTATTTATTTATTTATGACACTTGACGATTGTTAGGGAATGTATAAATAATATAATTCAAACCTATCCTCCTAAAAGTTACCTTGAAGATAGAAATAGGAATTAGGGAATGTAGAAATAATATATTTCAAACCTATCCTCCTAAAAGTTACCTTGAAGATAGAAATAGGAATTAGGGAATGTAGAAATAATATATTTCAAACCTATCCTCCTAAAAATTACCACCTATTTGAAATTCAAATTGTATATGATGTCTTCATTTGTAAACAAGAACGTTAGAGAAAATCCTCATTAGCACCTATTTCAAATTTATCTTTTCAACTATAAATAGTTAAAAAATGTTTATAAATAACTATTTAGAATCCCAAAAACATGTTAACATATCTTACCATCGCTACAATGGTGAAGAGTAGACCTGTAGTCCTCCAAGCTGTAGTGGCACCCATCATCAGACAGTATTGTGACAATAACCCGTCTCGATCACCTTTATATAAGACTACTGAGAGATTATAAAACTCCGCACTACTTATCTAAGATGGAAAACCTGGCTGACTATATCAAGTGTAGAGAAAGGCCTGACTTTATCTGTTAGGTACCTTATCTGGGAAAACCCAAACGTTTTAAACTTGTTAGCTTCAAGTACCCTGCTATCATGTTTTGAAAAGTGTTACTCTGATTTTTGACATATTGTGATAAAATATGCATTTAATTCTTTAATCTATTTTAAGCTTTAGTATAATTGAGTGTTCACTCTGTGGTCAAAAACGTGACTTTTTATCATCTCCAACGTCGAATAAATAATAATGTTAGGAAAGTCTTCAATTGATTATCTTGGTACAAATAATATGTTAAGTAAGTGTAACCGCATCGCGTTCGAAATCTAGTAGATAGTAGAACCGATTTTCTTGATATATTTTGTCAGTGGTTTGGGCTCAAGTGGGTATGAGACTAGTTTGGTTCCCAGCATATCTACAGGAAATTGAAGTGAAGGGGTTCTATTCCTCAAAATGTTTGTTATTTATTGCATCAAAATGACACAGACGTTGACTGTTTCAAACAATATTTGAACAGTTAATAATTGCATTGTACATTGCACAACGTTTACCACGAAAACCCACTAAGATCGCTAATTACAATACTCCTAATAGGATTAGCTTGACAACTCTTTTTCAAGCTACAAAGTAAATGGTGTTAATTACATTCTAAAAACTATAGAAATAATTTCTAAATCATCCAAATATTGATTTTAGAAACGCAATTATAAGACTCCAAGTACAACTAAAAGTTATAGCATGATTCACAGGGACATACTAAAGATAGTTTCTTGAATCTAATGTGAAAAACAGGTAAGAAACAGTTCTTCAGGAATTATGAATAGAGGATACTTTAATATGTGTATAGTGTAAAATTTGTAGGTTTAGTAATTGTTTCACAGAACATGACACAGCTCAGTAGGTCACACATAAGATAACATTGTGTGTCAGATTAACATGATCTCCTAACATGGGTTTGTACTCTGATGAACCTATGTTGTAGGCTAATATCGTTGTCAGAGTTGTTGCATCTGGAGTAAGGATACGGTTCTTTCCAACCACAGTATTGTTAACATAAATAGATGTCATTTAGTTTCTAAGGGTAAAAGGACGAAAAAAATATTTTCTCCGAAAAACATTTTTACATATTATGATGCAATTTTGTGACCTTTGATCATAGCAGATATTGGTAGATTTCTACAATTAATTATTAGCGCTAACTTGTTAGGACGAGACATTTTTGCATGGCTATACTTCTGTCTAATATCACTAAAATATGCTGAAAGAATGAAAGACAGTTGTGGAATCCTCATATTACGTAATTTCCTGCATTCCAACATAATGCTCCCCTATTTGGCATCACAGTATTTTCAAACTCTTCTGTGGGTAACAAAATTACAACATTACAACGAACTTCTTGTAAGGTCTTGACAAATCCCTTAGGGGTATGCAGATCACTTTGGAATACTACGGCTTATATAAGTAATTTTAAAATTTGATATATGTAAAAAAAGAGTATAATACATAAGCTTAACAGAAATTAATTACAATGTGTTTAACATTTTAAATATTGAGAAGATGGCATATTTGGTAAAGGTTTATCTTGGCATAATGATTTTGTAACTTAGAAAAAATTACTTGTTGCCCCAATGTGTACAGACAGAGAACGAAATCCTAAAAAGAAGAGACAAGAGATGGTTCGTTCACACACATTGGTCTTTGGTTATAGCTTGACAATTCTTATCAAGGAAATAACTCAACAAAATCCAGAATCAATGAAAAACACTCATAGGTAAATGTTGTATATCTTATCGGAGAAAGGTTGCAAGTAATTCTCTTATGAAGTGGGTGCTCTCATTAGTAAAATTGCCATACCTTTAATTAAATACAACACTATTTGCATATCACCTGAAATATACAACGTTCTGTTTGTTGTATTTGGTTTATTACAAGCATTTTAGTCATTTAAAAAGAGCATACATGAATATTCTTATTTTTTTACATTTCTTTTATATAGCGTATATCATTATATTAGATTTTTGTAAACAGATGGTGTGTATTAGATTTTTTGTACAATTTGAGTTTGATGATATCGACTGAATGTGTTATTTCTAGGTATTTGGTTGTAAAGCTAGAAAACAAGTCACAGTGTGTAAATAGATTTTTTATTTGGTTCGGAGGGTAACATAACTATTGATAAAAGACAAACGTCAAACACAAAAACACATTTACTGTAGTTATTTTTGGAAATATTCATTTGCCGACCCATTAGGGTAGGAAATATGTATGTAAACATGAGGAAATTATCTGTCCACATCTAGTTGTTAATCTAGGCAAGGTTTTTGAAACTTCAGCGTCCCTTGTAGATAAACAACAAATCCCTAGTGGTGGTTATCTCTAGCGAAAACTAATGAATGTTTTTTTTCATAAGTGTCTCCTGGAGTTTCCAAACACCAAAGGCATTTTAGTTGCAGTAATGCATAGTTAGTTTTAAATGCAGTTGTAATTAAGGTAACCAGTACTCTTAATAAAGAGCAGCCAATATTCTACTTTCAACTGTTCAAAAGGTTTTCTTATTCATGCAAAGTACAGTATTTCTTTCAGAATTTTGTGAATTATTGGCCATAATATTTTACTGCAGCTAGCCAATGCCAGAATCTCTTTTCCGCATTGCGTTCATTGTATATCTTTACTTGCTTTATTTGTTGGCAACAACCAAATAAAATTGAAAACAATAAAATGTAGTAGTCAGTTTTTCTCTTAAAAGACGATTTTAATGTAGTTATTTTGATCATTCATAAAAATGTTGTTGTTGATATAGATACAGTCGTTGTTTTAGCTTACTAACATGGGCTTTGTGAAATGTACTTTTTTCTTTAAACTAGTCATTCAGATAAAAAAAATACTCAATTGCATAAGTTTAGATAGACTTATGTTTGATTGTTATGTTGGATGAATTATGTGTGTTTTGTTACCCCTGAAAACATTAGAAAGTCTCAAAGCAGTTTCTATTAAGTAGTTATATCATTATAACATGACAAAAAACCAGACAAATTAATCTCTTAATTAATTTGTCTTTATATCATGACAAAAAAATGCAGTGTTATATTTTGTTTTTCTTTAATGAGTACTTGTGTAACTAAATTGTTATTGAACCAGTTCAATATTATTATCTTAATATTATGCTGTTTCAGTTACATTTTTTTATAATATAATGATATACATGGTTAATATGCATTTTTTATTAATTATTTGGAAAAGATTCGTTGGCCTATTGTGTTTTAACTAAAGTTAAAATTAAGAAGAAGGATCTTAATTTGATATAAAAAAGCGAAATTGTGGCTACGTGCGGTACTTGAGCCGTTAAGAAATAATTACAAAGATACTTGCATACACGTATGAACTAATTTATCAAATAAAAAAAGCCCTTTTCAGTATGGGAAGAAAGTTTTGAAACTGTCTTAATTTGTATATTACACATAACAAAATTAAGTATTGCACCCGTGGAAATTCTTGGTAAATCATCAATGACATATTCATAATGTCAGCTTTGTAATATATTTTCTTAACAATTAACTCATACAGCTTTCTACGCATATCCTAGTAGACCTAGTACTATGACCTAGAACAACTTTCTACACATACTACAGTAGACCCGTTTCTCCGTAAGGGGTTATCAAATTAAAATTTCTTCAAAAGTACTAGTGCTATAAGAATTAATTTACCCTCGAGGATGGACTAGTCTTAATTATATAAATAAAATACTTCCTCCTCCATAGTTTACAACCTCAGTTTTATTCTATTAAATTTTGAGGCAAATATTTAAATCCAAGGCAAATATAATCACACTGTTTTTACATAAATCAAACGTAGTACATACATTAAAAAGCTTAAAAAACTAGACATTGTATGAAAACTTCTTCAACTTAACAAAAATACATAAGGGACCCTATCTCAATTGTGTTTCAGAGGTGGGCAGTTGTTCTTGTAATGGTTCTTGTTCTTAAACAGTGTAAACCCATTATTGGACAGCTAATTTATAGACCCTTTTTATTGCCCTTTCCACAATATTATGAAATACTCACTCCAACTGTGGTAATAACCGTTTTATATACCACTGCAGGAGCCAATTTTCTCAAATTTATATAATGTTGTTATGTTCTTGCTTATTCTTGAGCTTTAATTTTTAAGTCTTTATGCTTCTTCAACGTCACTTCCATGAAAGTTTATTACAAATCATCATAAAAGATGAGTTTATGCTAAACTAGAATGAATGAATGAATGAATATATAGCTTATTCCAAAAAAAACATTGGCTACAAACAGTGATTATAAAATCAAATATACTAAACAGAGACTTATGACACTAAAAATACATACAAGTTTTAATGAGCCAAAATATTCAACAATAAACAAATGGAACTAGCAGACATAGGCAGTGCTACCTGTGCGTCTGCTAAGTTGCTGTCAAATAGAAAAAAAGGAAATAATTGAATTTGTGGAGCGGCAATTAAAAAATAAAAGGGTTGTTATTATTAGTGATGTATGTAAATGTATTTTCATGAACACGGCGCTGGTGAGTTTGCGCATTATAGATTTCGTGGTGGCCAGGAGAGAGAGAGACAGACTGTGTGTGTGTGTGAGTTTCGTGTGTAATGGTGGTAGTGAGGAGAGTGGAGAGTGATGAGTGGATTGTTGTGTATGAGTGCATAGAGCATTAAATCGGCGGTAAGAGCTAAAAAACAAGCTTAAAAAAGTATAATAACATCTTTTATTTTTTATTTTTTATTTTGGTATTTGATATCTGATAATCAAAACAACGAAAGAAGAGATAAGGTTAGAACAAGGGTAGGGGTCAGCGCTGCCGACACGGTCGTGACAGTCACGACTTACCCCTCAAACAACATGTATTTGATTGGTAATATATGGACTATATTATATTACCTACAAAGGAAATCAGCGGACATACCCTAAAGGCAGAG